AGAAGGATAATATTGGGCCTGAAAGTTGAAAAAGCTGCACCTCTTGTACATACCTCGCTAACCAGGGCTTCCGGGAGCCCCCTGATACTGAACCTGCCCAGCTAATCTAACCCCTGAAAGCCCCCTTGTAAGTGTTATGACTCGACTTTGTGCCTGGGAACACCTTGGTTCAGTAGTGCAAGATACTGTTGGAATCTAGACCACCAACCCCCTGCAGCGCCAAGGCGGCAGAGGTCAATATTTAGATTCAGCTGGCGCCTCTGCCGATTGACGTGATGCACGCGAAAGGAGCTAGACACAAAACCGGTCGGACTTGACGCCGATAAGGAGACCAGATTCATGGGTGGGTGGGTGACACTATTGAATACATCTCTATTTCACACTGGCTCATTCTTGATATAACCTCTGTAGATCCTGTCTAGAGATCCTCTTGTAGTTCGGGGGCTTCTGTCTGGACGACCTTTTCCAGTGTTGTCTTTGGTGGCAATATGTTCGGAGACCCTGCCGCAGCGGCATTCTTGAGCGCCTCTGCTGCGTCCGTTGCTCTAATCATCATGCCGATGTCGGTAATGGATAGGAAGGAGGTCATGTCGACGGGCGGAAGAGTTTCCTGTTCATTATCAGGTTGAGGTCATGTCAGCTCAGAATCAGACAAACAGAATGACACCTTGACAAGGAGAAACAGGGCCAAGTCCAACTCACCGAACCGGTCCAAAAGTACGAGCACTCTCTGTACCCCAAAATGTTGGACTCATGGGCAGGTTGAAGATAGCAGCTGACGTTGCCGTTGTACTGGCATTCGCTGAAGAGCGAGTAGATGGGTTTCTGGCACGCGCAGCTGACGAAGGAAACGCTCGATTCCGGGAGCCAACTTTGCATGCACAGGTTGGTCTAATAGTCTGCCCTGTAGCAGCTCTCGGCCAGGCGGAAACAGTCATCGGAGTTCATCGTCGCGGTAAGGGTCGGTACAGGAGGGGGCTCGGTCACCCTTGTCCGAGGGTCGCAAAGTTGGTGCCAGTCGTTCATGTTCTGGTCGAACCAGCTGTCGAAGACGGCCATGTTGATGCATTTATCGAGTTCGTATTTGCATCTGGACGAGAAAGGAGAAGCTGTCAGCCCTTGATGGTGATAATGCAGCACATCAATGGGGTGGCAGGCAACATGGTTACATACGCTCGGTACGAGTCGAGCAGCTCTTGGATACATGCGCATTTCAGTTTCTCCTCGACAGACCCGAGGACTTTGCAGCTTTCTGTAATTTTCACCATCGCCTTGCAGCTGGATAGCTCTGTAAGACCCGATTTTGGAAAACATGCCTCGGCCAACGGCACTCCGTCGTCTCCGACCGGGATCTCAGGCCACCCCAGCATGCTCGCAAAGAGCGCAAGCTGCGCGACTAGCAGGGAGCCAAACATTGTCGTGTACGGAGTAATGCTTTTGATCAAAGATGGGCTCGATTGAAGGATTTGGCGGGCAATTTGGGGATGACTTGGGATGGATTGGGGAGATGTGGGCGATGCAGGTATTAGTAGAGCCTGATAACCCGTATGTGCCAGGTTGAGCGGGATCCCATCATGAGATTCAGCAAATGTTTGTGCAGCTTCACACCCTCTTCCCTCAAACAGCTACCGCCCATTTCAGCTCATGGGGGTTGCTGCCATCCATGAACTGATACGAGTTTTTGCTCAACGCCACCAATGCTACCCCAACCCTCGCCCTCAGTGTTCATTCACGGATTTGGGAGGGAGAGTTGCTGTTGCTCAATATATATCCCAACGCCCACTACCTGCGCTCGCAGCTGTCCAGCAACATGTTTGACTTGTCATGCTCCTGGTTCAAAAGCACCGTGATACCCGAACAAGATGGATCCAGATCCGGAACGAGGGACATCACCAGTGCCATCAACGACAGAGCAGTCGTCACAGCTCCCAATTGAAACAAACTCGACAAGCAACCTGCTCGTCAATGCACATCCACCAGCCATAACTCCAAGTTCTCCTTCTCGGCCTGTTGAGGAAGCTGAGGAGGCCAATTCTACGGATACTCCTGAGCCTGAACCTACCAGTTCGACCCCTGCGCGACAGACATTTGAGTTTCGACATGCCACAAACATATCTCGTCCTGGGTCCAGGACTTGGCGATGGCCATCATGGATTCTTCACTTGCCGCGGCTTGTTCCAGGCTGGAGATCTCAAGTTGAAACGGAGGATAATCCTAGAGGTGGTTCCAATTCACCCGACTGCCGGTCACGGTGATGAGGCCCATCTTCCCAGTACTGCTGACTGGCCAGAGTGGCGATCTTCGAGACTTCGTTTCGACTTGCTACTGTTACAACTCATCTTGACCATCGTCATTGGTGGCGCAATCCTTTGGCTCGCCCAGTATTCCCGAGTCCACGATGGCTTCATCAGGCTTGGATCGCCTCCGGCCTTCATCTCAGATAACCCGGACCTCATGAAAGCTATATGGACGCAGAGCTGGCAGTACACCACTCTGCCCGTATCTCTCATGACATTGTATCGTGTCTCGTGGGACGGTGTCATCGCAGCCATCGCCGAGCGCCAACCTTATGTCGAGCTCATGAAGGTAGATGGCAGCCCGCCAGCAAAACACTCCTTTTAGACTACCGGGCCGACTGGCAAGTCGTTGCCATCTACAAGGCGTTGAAGCTGGGACATTGGTTCTTGGGGGTGTGCATGTCCATGTCTATCGTGTTATCCTTGGGTGTGGTGCCGTCGACCGCTTCCTTGTTTTCGACAGATGCAGCTTCTCATCGGTATCCTGTCCCTTTTAGTTATACATCGACGATCGAGTATTCGGCCATTCGTCGCCCAGAACGTTGTGGCCCCTCAAGCGGAACAGCACTGGAGTGGGCTGTTGTCACAAGCCACGGCCTCCTGAACGCTCCTTTCACTGCCCTGGACAAACGGGACCAGCGCCTACCCGACCTTTAGCCTCCAAGCCCCTCCGCCCTGACCAGATCCTTGGATAACTTGCTGCAACGGTCATACGCCGCCGTGGCAGCTACGATGCTAACAACACCACTCCCGCCGGATACTGAAGGCCGAGAGCGAACTGGATATGCCTCCATAAGCGAAACGCGGATTGTAGTCCAGCAGGGCGTCTCATACTTTGTCATGTCCATGCTCTCCATCGTTGCGGTGCTTTTGAGCGTCATAATCCTCTACGAGCGCCACAAGCCTTCGGCCTTGTTTGAGGAACCCATCGGACTATTCGGGGTTGCAGTGATCACCCAGCGTAGCACGCATCTAAAGGAAGAGATCACAAGACTTACTGACGATCCAAGGTGTCGTGGAAAATATCGCGAGAAGGCACTCAAAGACACCGAGTTTATGGGAACGCACTGGGCCTTTAACTCTTACAAGAGGTATATCCGTGAGACTTCCCGGGGGGACGGTTAGTGGGTTATGAAATGATCTTAATATGGGTCTGGACAAGAAGGGTGTTCAATCCAGTTAGCTACAGTAAAATGTCAACCAGTTACGTATTTACAAATCAACACCATGCACCTCTCATCTCCAGTCCATCTGACACCTTTCAACCCTTGAACTAAGCAGCAATATTGTTGCTCTCAGCCGGAACAGGGACAATCCAAATCGCCTTGGCAGTCCCATGCGTGGTCCAATGATGCGGACAGGTCTCAGCATAGACATCATTCGCCGACCCGATGCCAATACTAAACTTCACATCCTTTGCCGCGCTCCACTGGATGTTATCGTTCGCGTCGATCGACCAGCCCGCTGACCCGCCCGATGTGGTCCCGGTAAGCTTGGTCATGTCTCCGCCGAACTTGGGGAATCCCTTGCCACCGCACTTGATCACGTCTGGTGTGGCAGCGACACCTGTGGTCAGCTCGCAGGTTAGAGCCTTTGTTTCGTCTTTTGTTCCCGCTCCGTTGCCAGCTAGGTAGTAGATTCCCTTTGTGGGGTCGTTGACTTGGAACTTGAAGGTTTTGACCTCGCGCGGTCGGATGGCGGCTGCGTTGGCGCTGAGGGAGTCAAGTTCGTCAGGATAGGTCAATATATTGTCATGGGGATGTCAGTTTCATACCTAAAGGCCACAAAGGCAACGGAAAAGACGACTGTGAAGAGCATGATGATTGTATTTGGTTCTCTCGCGTAGCTCGGTTGCAGTGAATTCCAACTCAGATTAGAGGTAGCAAGTCCCAGTCAAGTTCAACTTACATCCAGGACAGTCCTGCCGGCCATTTCATGACTTATGTAGCCCCGCAAAGTCAGACAGAGTCTACCACATTTCACATCGATATCCCAACAACAGTGCCGAACGTTCATTCCAGGTAGTCATCTTCGTCATGATCGGCAATAAGGCACATATATTACCACCAATGAACCCCACTCGAGCATTGGCCGGGTTTATGTCCATCCGTGCCTTCATGTCTGCTATAGAGTCAATTCTCTATGGCTGAAAGAGTGCAGTATGTCAATACCGGATAATCAAGAACGGCTTTGGCTGCCGCTGCCGTGTTTTTGCCCCCTCGGCAGTTCAGTCTTGTATCACCATGGGAACATTGCTTGGGAGGACAGGCACGATGTTCAAGATGACTCCACGGCACAAGCAGCTGGAAATACCGCCCTATGGCTTGGTAGTTCCCATATTGAGCATCAGTCTTGTACATGCAGGTAACTCGGCTTACCTAATCAGGGGTCAACTTGGACAGTGGCTTCCGATTTGTGTGTTCGGGTCTCATGAGTCCTGGTGCCATTGAACGAAACTTGAAGAAAACCAACAATTTTAAGATCTACAGTCACTTTTAGCAGGAAATGTAGATTCTGCAAATTAAACAAAACTAGAGATGCTACTAAGAAGTTATACCTTTAATGAAGTCATCGATATATAACGGAGAGGGGAGAAATACGTGTAGTGTCTGTTAGTACTGATAACAACACACCAGAGTCCAAAAACAAAAAAGAAAGTTCAGCCACCAAAACGCTATACAGCAACGAAGAAACACAAAATGATGACAAGAGTGGGATTCGAACCCACGCCCTTTCGGACCGCCAGAGGAGTGGAACCTAGATTCGCATCCTGAAGACGGCGCCTTAGACCGCTCGGCCATCTTGCCTTAATGGTTGTTGTGCTCATAACGCTGAACACGTTTGATCATATTTCATATCTCGAATCAAGGTAATGCTATGTTTAGATGGTACAAAACAATGTCCCTTCCTTCCATTTTGAGATATGCTTATTTTCAAGCTAACATCCTAAACTTGCATTTTGTCTGTTCATTATGACCGTAGTTTATGAGTGTTTGCTCCAGCCAAGAGACCCAGGACCTTGAGCCATAGCAAAACTCACCCATTTACACAACGATGCCGCCTCAGACTGAAAGCCAGCTGAGATTCGGATCTGCCCCGAGGATACGACTTCCAAGGACCTCAAACCAAAAGGTCCGATTACTGATTTTGACAGCAATATTTTACCGCTTCATGTTCAGGTCGCGATGGAGTCGAGATAGAGTCAAGATCATCAGGGGGGCTGAACGTGCTGGGCTAGCCCTGCCCAAAAGGGAAATGATTCTCGCGGGCTGTAAGTCGACAATCCGGGGCAGAATAACGTCATTGCGACATGTCCACATATCTCAGCACTAGCCTCGCTGGTAAACAAGCTCAACTGATCGATCGCGACATCGGATCTAGACCACATCTTGATGAGAGAGTGTCGATCGGTACCCGGCAGGAATCATGCACCACAGCAGTACTATTGAACGCCCTGCAGCCTTGGAAATCAGCAGGGTGCTTGCTAAAATGCATAAACAGAACGGCAATCTAAGATGAGGAACGGCAGTTAGCTCTTGGAGGTCTGGCCAAACCCAGGTTGAGCTGAAAATTTCTGTCGGTGAGATCGGCACATATCCCGCAACACCTTGACGCTGACCGTTCCTTATTCTTCGCATCAGAGACCAAGTCAGTATGTCATCATGGCTGACTATTGCCCATGACTGAGACAGACATGAGCCCCCAAAGCTCACGTTCTCGATTCAACTTGACCAACACTGCAGTGAGCGACGATCACTGCCTCAACGAAGCAAACCTCCAACTCCATCCGGTTCTGGATCATCACGAGCATCCCAATATAGACATTATGGACAATTTTCTTCTGGTCAAGATGGTGGCGGACGGGCTCTCGTCTCGTAAAATCAACCATGTTGTCGAGAAAAGTGTGAATGGCATCATCTTTCTCATCAAGCACGAGATGCCATCCCACGACGAAGAGGGCGATGGTGTGTCAGATGGAGGCGTTGAGGATCATGTCGGGATCAGGCATCAACCAGACAGAGGCAAACTTGTATATATACCGCGGTCGACGACCTCAGCGTGACACTCGAAACCAGCTCCAATCAAGCATCTGAACTCAGACATCACCAAATCAGAAGTTCAAACCTCACTTGTTCCCCGTCCTTGCATCAATAGCAATCTTTATCTCCGCCATGCACTCCGGACTCGTTGGGTTCGCCCTCTTGGGCAGCCTCGTCAACCACCTCGTCCAGGCCACACCCACGGGCGCCAACGACAAGCGCAGCCCGCTCGGAATCAGTCTCCCTCCTCTGATCCCCAAAATTCCTGGCGTGACTGAGCCACTCTCGGAGAATGCCATTCCGCTGCCAATCCTGCAGCTTCCCACTCCTCCTTTGCCCAGCATCCCGTTCCCCGTCAAGGACATCAAGCCCAAGAAGATTGGCTACATCTGGACGGGAGCCGGTGACAACAAGCACGCTGATTTCCTGGCAACCATCAGTCTTGACGATGTAAGTCTACTTGTCCAATTTGATCTCAAACACATCTGATGATGCATTCTCCAGGACACCTTTGGCCAGTTCGTCGCCATCACCGACGTCCCCACCAGCGGCAACTCTCCCCACCACCTGGGCGTGAGCTACGACGGCAAGACCCTCGTCGGCGGCGGTCTTCTCTCCCTGCTCAAGACCCAAGACACGGCCTTTTACTTTGACACCAGCGACCCGTACCAGCCCAAGTTCTCGCACAGCAACCGGGCCATCTTGAGCTCCATTGTCGACGAGATCCGCGCCAAACCAGATGGGTAAGCTTGCTCTCTCCTTCCCAGTTTCCCGTGATACAATCCACTGACCACCCATGTTCACACCAGCGGCTTCTACATAACCTACATGGGCTCAGCAGTAGGAACCTCGCCCGGCAAGCTGGTCGAGACCGACGCAGGGGGCAACATCATCGCCGAATGGCCGGCCGTAACCGACGTCCCCTCGACCCTCAACATCCTAACCCAGCAATTCTCCCCCCACGGCCTAACAGTCGACTACGAGCGCCAAATCGCCCTAACTTCCGACTTCGTAGTCCCCCTTTCAGTCCTGAAACCAACCCTCGGAATCCAACGCGCCAACACCCTCCGCCTCTTTTCCCTAAAGACGCACTCCATCCTCAGCACCATCACGATCCCCAACGGCCAGGGAATCCAAGACGTAAAGTTCATCCCCAATAACCCCGAAGCCGCCGCCCTAGCAACAGCAGTCGGATTAGGCCAAGTCTGGATCATCTACCCCCTCCGTGTCAACCCCCTGACCGGCAAGCCCGGCGTGGCCAAGCTCCTCTACGACCTCGGCCCAAAGGCAAAAGACAGCATGGCCATCTACTCTGACATCTCTCCCGACGGAAAATTCGCCTACTTCACCCTGACACTAGGCAACCACGTCGCAGCCCTTGACATTTCCGACCTGAGCAACGTCAAGAGACTGGATGATCCCAACGAGACACAGCCAATCATTGGACCGCACTATGTCAAACTCTCGCCCGATGGTAAGAATCTGCTGGTCCTGGGGTATTTCGTCCAGGCGGGGGATATCTCTGTTCTGAACACTCCAGGCGATTATAAGCTCCATTGGCTGGATATCTTGCCCAATGGGGGGATTAGGTTCAACCGGAGTATCGATTTTGAGCAGACCTTTACACGGACTTATGGTGGTGCTCGGCCGCACTCTGCTGTCTTGTTTGACTTGACTGATCCTGCTAAGCCGGTCTACTATTGAGGTTGTGCACAGTGGAGGTGTTGGAGCAGAGGTGTTGCGTGGACATGTCACATGGAGAGAAAGGTCATGTTGGTGAGGTCGTTTTGTATGGTATTGAAGGATCGACTAGCAGGGTATAATCTTGGCTGATGTTGATAATGTGGTGGGCTTGGAGGCCACGGTGGTGTCTTTTGGTACTCTTGTGGTTCTGTTTCTATGGCTCTATATAATAATTTCAGTTAGCTGAGCATCAAGCCTTCTTAATGATCCATTATACCTCGAAATCATCCCGACCAAGGACATATTTCCGCCACCTCCACTACACCAAAGGCTCATAGGTAATGTCCTTGAGTAACTCGTCCAGGTTCGATGGCTCGGTGGAGGGGTCATTCTCTTCCCATCTCGCAAGCCACTCCAAGTCTGAGTGTCGTTGGTCCTGGAGCATTACGGGTGGTGAAGGTTGGGAAGCCGGCTGTTGGCCTGCTGCATGGTTATCGGCCGGTCGCCAATTACCGTCTATAGTCCATGTTGTTGCAGATGCCTCTTGATATTCCAGCGTCCATGGTGCGCTGCTGTTACTGCTTGGTTGAGAAACAGTCGAAAAGATTGAGGAGGATGCCAGAGCGAGACCGCTCCCCGTGCTAGAATCGCCTGATGTGTCCCGTTGCAGAGGTTGGACGATGGAATGGCCGCTACTACCACCATGCTGACTGGCGGACTCGTGGCCTAGAAATGACGAGTCGGCGGACCGTTCTAGGCAGAAGTGCTCAAACATGTAGTCCAATCCTCTGGAGAGAACACGGTGCAAGGCTTGGTCAGAAATACCGGGACGCAGTAAAAGCCCACTAGCTCGAATCTCGTCCTGAAGTATGGATACACCTTGCCGCTGGCTGAACTCTCGCATAAGACAAAAGTCCTTTGACTGGTCCGAGTCAATGTAGATGGACAAGGGTCGGGGCTCGGTGGGAAATAGAATATCCCACATGGCAAACCACTGGTTCTCGAGGGTGCCCTTCGACTTTTTCAACAGCTGTTTGCTCTGTGTCTGAGAGATACCTTCCAGCTTAGCTTCCCTGGTACACGAGGCGGCTATGACGTGATGGTCATATACTGGCTCTGTTTCGAAAATGGCAAAACACCGGTGGCAGTAGAAGGTAGGGGTATGCCGTCTAGCCAAATGCTGTTTGACGTAGCTTACAGTCGTGGTTCTCCTAAAGAAACACTCCCAATGCTTTGAGGGGTCCAGCTTCCAGAAGGGACAAGCGAGGAAGCGTCGCCTTGATGGAACTTCCTTGGGCTGTTGGGCTTTTAACCTCTTCCCCCCGGGTTGGTCTCGTTCGTGATCATCATCACCATCACGCTGCCGTTTTTGTGGAGCTTGCCGCGACGGACGCAAAAGGACACGACGGGTGGGTAGACTTTCCTGGCTGCTACACTGCCTTTGTGTGTCGCCTGTCCCGTTGTGGTCTGGATTGGTGCCTTCTGTCACCCCTGCTTGGTATTCTAGCAACAGGCGACGGGTAATGCGTCTGAAAAAGTGAAAGCCCGGACTCGTCCAATTTGGGTCCTCGAGAACAACACCCGAGTTACTCTGAATGGAGAGCATATCCGGGTCTAAGGATGATCCCGTCGGAGACAACGAGCTGTCAAGAAAGCACTCCCTGGCCGTCTCGGCAGCGCCAGCCTCTGAGGCAGGGGATTGGCGTGGACCGCATGAGACACGACTGCGGCACTCGTGAAGAACATGACGGCCTGCGGCTAGGTCAGAGTGAATGTTGGCCAACCCAGTTCGCCAAAGTAGCCATGGAACCGAAAGGCCGCCAGTCAAATCGTGATTGACACAGTGCGACCGCTCGTCGGGATCTACCAGCTTGTGCCAGCAAAAGACGTTGCCCTGCTTGCGCACCAACTCCAGGCGTACGCGTGAACCGTGCAGAAGAACAGATTCATTGACAATGCTAGTCTCCTGGGCATCGACTAGAGCGAGAAGAACTTCGAAAGGCAGCTCAATCCCAGAGCATAAGTTGTCGGGCCTGCGTGCCGTGGGAAAGCCCTGAACGAAGGTAGGAGCTATGAGACTACCG